TCCGATGGCCCTTCCTCTGTGACTGGTGAGATGGGGTCTGCTAACCTTGTCTTGAGTTCACCCCAAAAGCAGAGCCTGAGGCAAGGATTGAGTGCAAGTGTATTTTGGAGGAGGTGATTCAAGGAGCCCTGTGAGGGAGTGGGGAGGTGAGACGAGGAAAGAGAGCCGGCATGAAGGATGTTAGCAAGAAGGTGGCCCCTGTGGGTGGTAGGGGTTTGGTCCCATTGGGAACATGGCCCAGAGTCATCCCCATTGAAGGGCGATGGGACTGAAGTGCTGATCCACACTTCCCACCCATCGCTGGCCAATGGCTGCTCCTGGGGCATCACCTCCGCTGTACATCCAGCCTGTTGTCCCCACAGTGAGAATAACCCAGAGAGAGGCTGATGGTCCCATGTTGCAAGTGGGAATGGTTAGCAGGTCACTGACAGAGCTCCTGGGCCATCCCTGTGTTCATGTGTGCCTCGCTCATGATGGCAATGACCCCCACCTCAATTATAATGCCCCAGCAACCCAGTGGCATCTTGGGGGCAGGGCATGTCCTCTTATGCTGGCTCCCTGGTACCTGGCATATAATAGGCACCCAATAAATATCTGCTGATTGAATAAATGATGCTTAATGTTGCCCTAGGGCCACTGAAGATGTGCCCCAAGAGAACACAGCTTCCATTCCCCCAGGGAAGATGAGAAGCCCTCCACTGCAGAGATACAAACACGCCCAAGATACTCCATGAGGCCCTGAGCCACTGACTGTAGCCCTGTTTGTTCTGTATATCTGAGACTCCTACCTCTTTCTTCCTTCTGTCGCTAAGGTGGACCTCCCAGTTCAAGCATCCCAGAGTCTGGTTCCTGTTTGACACTTTTTTAAAGAGAAACAGGATCTTGCTGTATTGCCCAGGCTGGAGTGCAGTGGTGTAAGCATAGCTCATTGTAGCCTTAAACTCCTGGGCTCAAGAGATCCTCCCACCTCAGCCTCCCAAGTAGTTGGGTCTACAGGCATGCACCACTATGCGTGGCTAATTTTTATATTTTTGTAGAGACAGGGTCTTGCTATGTTGCCCTGTCTGGTCTCAAACTCCTGGCCTCGAGCATTCCTCCCCAGCCTCATAATAAGCTAAAATTACAGATGCAAGCCACTGTCCAAGCCTGTTTGTGACCTTTAGGTCCTCCCTTTGGTCACCTCCACGGGAATGCGTCCTTTCCTTCCTGCTTGGGCAATAATAACAGAGATCTGCTCAGGTACAGAACCTGAGTAGTTTTATTTTCTTCTTTGTCGTTTTCTGTATCCTTAAAATCCTTCACAGTGAATTGTGTTGCTTCTACAATTAAACTTCTCATTTTGAGATAATTACAGACTCACATACACATACAATAAATAATAGAGAGGGGTGGGGAGCAGTGATCACACCTATAAATCCCAGCACTTTGGGAGGCCAAGGCAGGCAGATCACTTGAGGTCAGGAGTTTGAGACCAGCCAGGCCAACATGTAGAAGCCCCATCTCTACTAAAAATACAAAAATTAGCCGTGGTGGCATGTGCCTGTAATCTCAGCTACTCAGGAGGCTAAGGTAGGAGGAACGCTTGAGCCCCAGGGGTGGAGGTTGCAGTGAGCCAAGATCGAGCCACTGCCTTCCAGCCAGGGCAATGGAGTGAGACCCAGCCACAAAAAAAAAAAAAAAAAAAAAAAAAAAAAAAAAAAAAAAAAAAAAAAAAAAAAAAAAAAAAAAAAAAAAAAAAAAAGAGAGAGAAAAGACAAAACAGAGAAGCCCCATGTTATCCTTTATTCAGTTTGCCCCGTTTGGTAACACACAGTAAAACCACAGTACAATACTGCAACCAGAACACTGACACTGACGCATTTCCAGCCACAAGAATACCTTTCACGGCCCCTCTATACCCACAGGCCCTTCCATCCCACCAGACCCAGACCCCTCCTGAGCACCCAGAAACCACTAATCTGGTCTCCATTTCTGTAATTTTATCATTTCATGGTGGTATGCAGGACAGCTGGATATCCACAAGCAAAAGAATGAAGCTGGACCCCCACCTTATGCCATATACAGAAATTAAACTCAAAATAGATTTTAAAAACCTAAATGTAAGAGCTAGAACGATAACACTCTTAGAAGAAAACACAGGGCCAAGCGTGGTGGCTAACGCCTGTAACCCCAGCACCTTGGGAGGCCAATGTAGGCAAATCATGCAGTCAGGAGTCTGAGACCAGCCTGACCAACATGGTGAAACCCCGTCTCTACTAAAAATACAAAATTAGCGGGGAGTGGTGGCATGTGCCGGTAATCCCAACTACTCAGGGGGCTGAGGCAGGAGAATCACTTAAACCTGGAAGGCGGAGATTGCAGTGAGCCGAGATTGTGCCATTGCACTCAGCCTGGGTAATAGAGTAGGACTCCATCTCAAAAAAAAAAAAAAAAAGTGCCGGGTATGGTGGTAGGCACCTGTAATCCCAGCTCCCTAGGAGGCAGAGGCAGAAGAATCACTTGAACACACAAGGTGGAAGTTGCAGTGAGCCGAGATCACACCACTGCACTCCAGCCTGGGCGACAGAGCGAGACTCCAACTCAAAAAAAAAGAAGAAAACACGAGAGCAAGTGCAATTCCTGTGACCTTGAATCCAGCAATGGTTTCTCAGGTATGAGAGTATCCCCTAAAGTCCATGCAACCTAGGAAAAAGTAAAACCTTACGACAACTTCAAAGGACATCATCAAGAAAATGAAAAGACAACCCACATAATAGCAGAAAATACTTGCAAATCATATATCTGATATGGGTCTAGCATATGGAATATACACAGGACACTTACAACTCAATTATAAAATGACTGACAGACAGCCAAATTAAAATGTAGACAAAGGGCCGGACATGGTAGCTCATGCCTATAATCCTAGCACTGCGGGAGGCAGAGGCAGGCAGATTGTTTGAGCCCAGGAGTTCAAGACCAGCCTTGCAACAAAGCAAGACCCCATCTCCACAAAAATAAGAAACTATTAATAGCGGAGTACTGTGGCCTGTGTCTGTGGTCCCAACTATACGAGAGGCTGAGGCAGAAGGACTGCGCAAGCACAGGAGGTAAGTTCTGGTGAGTTAGGACTGCACTGCTGCATTCCACCCTGGGTGACAGAGTGAGACCCTCTCTCAAAAATATGTATATGTGGGGGGGTCATATCTATATATACGCATATGTATATGTCTGCGTGTGTATGTATATATGTGTGTGTGTCTATATATAGACACAGTATTTGAATAGACATTTCTCCAAAGAAGCTATACAAATGTCCAATAAGCACATGGAAAGACATTCAACATAAGTAGTCATTAGAAAAATGCAAATGGAAACCACAATGAGATACCACTGCATACCTGCTAGGATGGCTATCAGCAAAGTCACGGATGAAACAAGTGTCGTGAGGACACAGGGAAATGAGAACCCTCATGCACTGCTGGTGGGTGTAGAAAATTGGGCAGCTGCTATGGACAAGAGCTGGGCAGCTGCTATGGACAAGAGCTTGGCAGTTTCTCAAAATATGAAACATGGAGTAACATATGATCCAGCAATTCCGATCCCAGGTATACACCCCAGAGAAATGCAAACCTCTGTCCACACAAACACTTGTACATAAATGTTCATAACCCATTATTCACAAAGTAGAATCACCGAAAAGCAGAAACAACTTAAAATCCAACCATCAAAAGAAATGACATACAGACATATGCCTCAATATGGATGAAGCTTAATCCTGAGTGAAAGAAGCCAGTCATAAGATACCACACATTGGAAAACAGCATTGAGATGACATGTCCCAGAACTGGCAAATCCAGAGGCAGAAAGTAGATCAGAGGTCACCAGGGGTTGGGGCAGATGGAAAAGAGTGACTGCTTAATGGTATGGAATTTTTTGCAGTGAATGTTCTAGAATGAGTGGTGATGGTTACACAACACTGTAAATATATTAAAAACCACTGAATTGCATACTCTAAAAGAGTGAATTTTATGACATATAAATGATATCTCAGATTTTAAAATTCAATTCACATACAATATTATACAAAATGAGACCCACCTCACACAGGTGCTGAAGCCATTTTCAGACTGTCATCCAGCTGGTCTGCTGTCCATTGGTAGAGGGAAGAGACACTTGGAAACAGCTGCCCTCTCCCAGGGACACAGAGATGGGAAGAAGTCTCCGCTTAATGAAGGAAAATCAGAGGTTATTATTTAAGAGTTGGCCAATTTAGAGTTTCACAAATAGCATCTATTGACCACATTCATAACAGAATCTCACCCACATTCACATGAATGCCACTACAACCAAGAATCGCCTAATGATAAATAATTTGGGTTGAATTCTGGGCGTGGATTATGTTACATGAGAAAACAGCAGCTGTCACAGATGCCTCTTGATCACAGGAGTGGCCCTGGAGGCTTTCTGGGGGAGGTATCCCAGCAGGAAGCTATGGCTGTGGGAAGCAAAGGTGTCAGAGGCAAAACTTGAAGCCTGGGTGAGGGCAGGGACTAGAGACCTGGGAAAGGGGCCTTCTAGTATGGAGCCTGGCAGTCAGGGCTCAAGCTGGGGACAGGCAGGAGGTCCCCATGCCTGATGGGGTGCCCAGGCCTCACAGGCTGGAGGGCGAGTGGCCGTTAAGATGCATCACCAATCCCAACATAACAATGGAAATGTATGGAAACTGGGACCCCTGTCCTTCTGGGAGCAGGGCCACTTTCGAACTTGGGAACAGGGAAGGGGTGAAAAGAGAAATGTGGAAATGCCCCACGAGGCCCCCACTTCTCCCAGCCTTCCCTGACATCTCTAGGTGAGATAGGACAGAGCCTGTGCTGTGCAGAACGCCACAGGACACACTCACAGTGCCAGGCCTCTGGCGCCTGTCAAGCTAACCCCCGCCCCCCACTCTCCCATGTCCCTGATGGCCACCAAACCTCCCTCAGGTGGGTGTCTCTATCCGAGGGCCACCCGCTGTCCCCCATCCCCCACCTGCTCACCGAATGGCCACGATGACCCTCGGGATGGCCTGGAGGAGGGACAGGAAGCTGAGGGGCAGCAGGCGTGCTGGAGAAGCCAGCAGCTCGTCCTGGCCTGGAGTAGCCATTAGGGCAGCAGGCGCCCGTCACCACAGATCCGCCAGCAGTTGTGCCAGGAACATGTATCCAGCGGGGCTTCTAGTCAAAGAAAAGGTGGGGTGAGGACAGGGCACGTTCCCTGGATCTCTGCGAGACACAAGGAGGCTGCAACACTAGCCCCAGAGCCTCTGAGAAACAGGGACTTCTAGGACCCAGCCACAGCCCTGGGTGGAAACACTGACCCCGAGCTCACAAGATAAAGGCCATCTTGTGGGTTTATGATTTCCTGGGTGACAGCGGCCTTGGAGATATTTTTCAAGAGTCTTTCTCTTTTAGAATCTCATAAGGAGCATGCACAATATCCAGCTGGGACTTGCTTCCAAATCCTCTTTTTTCTGGAGAAGGAGCAGGTGATGAAGATTAGAGGAATCACATAGGATAATGACTGGAGCTGAGCGATGGGCACATGGGGCTGATTTAAGCCAATCTCCACTTTGTGGAGTATTTGAAATTTTCCGTAATAAAAATTGAAGGAAAGCCACAAGCACAGGTGGAATCTGGCATTTCCATTTCCTTGATGCTCTTCAGCACTTTCCAGACGGGCTCTGGCCAGCATGTGATCCTCTGGATACTAGAGTTTGTTTTTATTTTTTTATTACACTGTTAATATGCTACTAATATAAAATATACACTAATGATATTAATGTAAATATCATAAATATACTCTCCTTATGAAAAATTATGCCACAAAAACATAGAGGAGAAAAGCACCTAAGTCTGTCTTTACAAGAAAAAATGTAAGATCAGAAATGTGAACTTTCTCGTTAAAATGGAAATCAGTCAGATTTGAGGCCAAAGAAAATGTCTCACACTTTTAAATCACTCTGTACTTGCAGCCAGAGGGAAGAACGATCATAATTCTCCTGGCAGCAATGAGACCTGCTCTCTTAATCCTTTGCTGGGAAATCTTCTGGCATGAATGGGTTTGAGGCTTAAAACATTACTTATAAAAATTACCTAAACTACAAAACAATGATTAGAGTAAAAATTAATGGGTTTTTCTTTAAGTATCAATTATCAGATGATACATGTCAACTAAGCTTTTAGCTTTTCTTTAAAAGATGCAAAGTTTTCAAAGCCAAAAAGAGTCAATAAAAGTAAACCCACAAATGTGTGATTACACGGTTCAAAGAGCCTTAAGAGGTGAGTGGTTACTTGGTGATTATTCATTTCCCAAGTATTCCCCGACCCCAGCCTCTGGGGGTTCTACTCAAATCACTCACCTTTTCCAGGAACCCAACTCCATTCAGATTTACTCATTCATAGATTCCATCAAGACAAACTCACTACGAAGAATTGGTGCACGCAGGGAACAACATGATGCCAGCCCAGAAAACACAGACATGGCAGCCCTCCGCACCAGAAAACACCTTCAAGATCAAGTCCAACCCACTCCTTTTACAGACAAAGAAAGTAATGGTGGGGGTGGAGGTCCTGATCTCCCCATATACTGTCATGAGAGCAGGAATACACATACATGCCAGGTCACAGAGCAATCTACATACCAGGTCATAGGTACATACATATATAAATACACTTAACTAAGAGTACATAAGGGTACTGCAGAAAGTTCAAAGAAAATGGAATTAAAAGATAAAAATAGGCTGGGTGCAGTGGCTCATGCCTGTAATCCCAACACTTTGGGAGGCTAAGGCAGGTGGATCACCTGAGCTCAGGAGTTCAAGACCAGCCTGGTCAACATGATAAAACCCCATCTCTAATAAAAATACAGAAATTAGTCAGGCGTGGTGGTACGCTCCTATAGTCCCAGCTACTTGGGAGGCTGAGACAGGAGAATCGCTTGAACCCAAGAGGTGGAGGTTGCAGTGAGCCAAGATCATGCCATTGCACTCTAGCCTGGGTGACAGAGTATGACTCCATCCCAAAAAGAAAATTAAGATTAAAATTAAAAAATAAAAAATAAGCCAGGCACAGCAGCTCATATCTATAATCCCAGCATTTTGGGAGGCTGAAGCAGGTGAATCACGAGATCAAGAGATCGAGACCATCCTGGCTAATACAATAAAAACCCCCCTCTACTAAAAATACAAAAAATTAGCTGGGCATGGTGGCACATGCCTGTAGTCCCAGCTACTCAGGAGGATGAAGAAGGAGTATCACTTGAACCCAGGAGGCAGACATTATAGTGAGCCAAGATTATACCACTGCGCTCCAGCCTGGGTGACAGAGTGAGTCTCTGTCTCAAAAATAAATAAATAAATAAAAATTAAAAATATCTCCAAAAAATAAATAAATAAAGATAAATAAGTAAAACAAAAATGAAAAATTTTAAATGAGGAGTAAAAGCTCTGTAAGCTGAAA